CCTCAACGATTGGATCGTAACACCTATCGATACAACAACAGCCTCCAGATCACCGGGCATTCGGGCCGCCTGTTCAGCTTAGCCGTTGAAGTGTAACCCAAGCAATGAAAATAGCGCTTCTGGAAATCAAGTTACTCTATCGCACTCCATGTCATTGAGGCTGGGATTGCGATCTAATCACGACTTCGTACGCAATACGCTGAGTCGTTGTAGGCCCATCGTGGACGAGGGGATTGCCAATATCATTTTCCATGTACTGTTACTTACCTTATCCGTTGAGGTGTAGGGAAGACGAGGAACGAAGTGATCGAGGTGATGGGAGACCACCGACAACACCTCCATTAAGTACGCGCTTCCGCCCAAGCAGTTTCGAAAAACAATAACAAGATAGAGAACAAACTTTCTCTGTCGCCCAGCTGAGTCGTAGTAGGCTGAGCAACAGAATGTCACGGCGAGACAGCAAAATCGCCAACAACAACCTGAACACGACACTCTTTTGAGCGTGAATCTTTCCATCGCGCCTCTCAGCTCGGCCGTCCTTCCCGACCTTCCATCTCCACCGATCAACCTCTAAGGCGCCGCGCTGACGAAGAAAATCAATAAAGACGACAACGAACGCTTCATAAGCTCGCCACTTGACAGCTTTGTGACCCGCGTCCCCATTCCAAACGCTTCACAATACCCCAAGCTTCTTTCACCAGAGCTTCCTTCATTAAGCGAGACTATCCCACAAGGCCTTGGCAGGCACCAGAGGGAACCATGTGCCTCTATCAATTAGCTAACCCGGTAATCGATTTTGGAATATAGGCATTGTGAGCTTGGGTTAACAACGGTCCCAACTTTGCTCTGAACGTAAGGAGATGTTCAGCGTAATATATTGTATCAGGTTATGAAGCTATAAACTAAAGTACCCAACACTACCCTCAACCAGGGATGTACACATGTCCTTCGGGCGATCTTTGGGACGGGGTATACTTGGGTCCTCAATGGCTGACAGCAGCCACCATCCCGAAGCAGGTTGAGCCGCAGTTTGGTCGCATTCCTGTTCAATTACCTGCATGCCCATCGACCCGGCCACACAAAAAGCCTTGCTAGGTACATGCCCGTGCAAAGTGACCGGGACTGTAACTACGCCCGGCGGCACCCTCTTCCGATCAATAACGGGAAACTCGACACCGTCTAGCGTCAAGCGACCATGTCCGGGCGGTAAGATTATGAAGTGAGGACCGGAACTGGATGGAACGAGGGTACGAGGGTATGGCACGGGCTGCGTGTAGCTGCGGAGTTGTTCATCGGTATAGCTCGGGACTCTCTCGCCACCAGCCCCCCACCAACAAAACGTAGTCAGCCACCCCGACAGGCTTATAATGCCGCCAGATCCCTGTGCTGGTCCCTCATGAACTGTGCGTGCCCAAAAGTTCTTGACATCGGCCCCGTCTGGAAAGTCAAAGCTGGCTACCATGTAGGTAAGGACTTTGGTCAGCCGGATAGTCCACGCGTCTATCTCCTCGTGACCAAGGGTCTCGAACCAGGCCACACGTCTGAGAATGTCGGTCCAGTCGCTTCTCTCTCCTAACAAGGTGACCGACGGGAGGCCGCAGCCGAACCGCATTCCAGATCTGAAATACTCCTGTGTAACGCCCAGGAACACTATAGCGGCTACGTCTCGGTCGTGTGGCGTCGTGGTGGTGAAAGTGGGCAAAAGGGTGTCGGCGATATTAGGGTCCACGAGGCGCTCCTTCACCATGGCCGCCAGCCGTTGGGCAACAGCCCCAACGTCTACGGCCCTGAGGCCCCTGACTGAGGGGACATCGACAGTAACATCGACCTCCTGCTGACCTTGATGGGAAACGAAGAGATGACG